CATCTGCCCTTAATTCAAAGTCACCCATCTGCACACTTGCCACCTTTCCCAGTTGTTTTATCCAGCCGCGTTTCTTCTCACCATCTTGTTTCTTACCATTATAATAATCTCACAAATTTTATTTCTTTTTCTTACTTTTTTGCTTTTTTCTTTTTTTTACTTTTTATTTTTCTTTTTACTTTTCTTACATTTTCCAATTCTCATTTCTTGCCTACTTTTTTGGTTCTTTTGTTTAATTCATTCCTTCTTATTAGAACTTTCTATTGCTGCGGCCTTGACGTTCGTCGTGCTTCCTGAAAGAATTAGCAGCTCAGCAGTCCTCCTGACAAAAGTACTTTGGGCATCAGCTATTTTGAGATACACTACTATTTGTTGAGTTTTATCGTTTCGTCTCAAGCGTTGCCACTCCTCCAACCTTAATGAGGTACCCTTGAGAGCCAGGGCTGATATAAGCATAACTGGTCCAATAAAAGGACCCCTTCCCCCTGTCATGAATTCATCATCTCTAGTGCCATCCCAGGAATAAAATAATTGGCTAACACATGGCTTGCCCATACGAAGGTGCGTTTTTTGCACACTTCTTCGCAGATTTTTGTCGCTAACGGCGCTGGTTTTTCCGGCAGATGCTTCTAGCGAAAAGAACTTCAGACTGACCGTTAGAACTGTCAAGAAACATTCTTTTAAAATTACAGTCTTCTAGCTTTTCAAATTCTCGAGTTAGCGACTTACCCGAAAAAAACCTTGGCGATCCCGTACGCGTGTACCACGCTCACCCGGGGGCTGGGCTTGAGCCCACTAATACCCGGTTGGGCGGGGAAAATTACCTCAAGATTTCAGCGTTTAGCTTCTCAGATCCCCGAGTTATGAACTTACTCAAAAAAACTTTGGCAGGCCCGTATGCGGGTACCACGCGGGTTTTGGCTCCCATTTTGGGGATTGGGGGCGACACGTGCATGTAGATTAAGTTCCCGAAATTTCATCCCCGCAGCTTTAAAGGTCCTGAGATGAAAGTGCATGACAGGCGCACACACAAACACAAGGACACACAGACAACCTCTCGTCAGTATGTGTTTTTCGCATTGCATTACTGCAAAAAACGCCTAAAAACAGCAAAACAGACGGCGTAAAAGTTATTACGTTGCAAAAATTGTCAAGATTGTAAGATGTAACATTATTCCGTGAGTTTTAGGTTGGCGCATGGCTTTATTTGGGAAAAAGCAGTCTCCAGACAACTCATATTTGTCAGTTTGTTCCAGTAACTGCGCCACCGTTGAAAGCCTGGACTGCCCATGATAAAAATTCATCACCAGGAAGTCCGGTAAGTGAAAATCATTTTTCATACCGGTTTGAACAAAAATTTCGTCCAAAAAACTTTTTTGTTTTTTTTTTCCAAAAATTTTTATGAAAAAGATAAAGAGAGAAAAAAGTTTTTTTCATCTGCTAGTCACCGATTTTTTCAGTTACTCTCAGTGGAATCCCGAATCGTTTTGCCACCAGTGGAATGGGCACGTGAAAACGATTATGAATGGTGCGCGTACAGCTTTGAATTTGGCCGAGTTGGCATTTATGCTCGCAGCAGGCTGTTCAAAATGAATTCGAACACACTGGAAAGAGATGTAATCTATGATGCAACACTCCAAAGGTTAGATTTTTTGGCATTGTGGTGAATTTTAAACGCTCATTTTTCCTAAACCTGAAGTAAAAACTCAAGTAAAAAGCTATTTTTTCTCTCTCACGTAGAGTATTTATTTTTGCAGCAAGTTTTTTTCCGTATTTTTGCCAACATGCCATCAAAGTTCATGTAACGGCTGCTGATCCAAGTAAACACCCAGTGTTGCTCATGTAATGCTCGAATAACGCACATTTTCGATCAACGATCAGTTTTATTTGACAATTCCGATTTTCACCAGTTTGTTCCGATGCCCGCACTTCTAATCCATGACGAATTACTTGTCAGCTAAGAGAATTATTCATCAGATATCCGTAGTTGATCAAGCTGTTGTCATTTGAACTGTAGGGATGTAGTTCGCATATGTAGTAGAGGCACTAGAAACATACAGATTAATGTAGGAGAATGTAGGGTAGCTACGCTTCATGTGAGTGTTCCCGGATAATATTGGTTCCTTACGCTGGCAGTCGGTGCGATATTGTTGCTGTGAATGATACCTTTTAGTAAGCGGAATGTTTAGCGAATCTTCAGATTTCTTTTAAAAGAACCATGCAAATTTACAAAAAATTTTTTCAGAATTCCACTATCGAGTAGGCTGGGACGATATGTGGAAGAGTGCTGTGGAACAGTCTGGGTTGTACCTGCGCAGGTTCTCATGAAAAGCGCTAATCAGGACACTTTTGAAAAAAGAGTATGGTTGATTTTAAATTACATAAAATTGGTACTTTTCCGAGGCCATTGATAGTGGCGATGAAATTTGAGAGAATTGCGAAGGGTCCTAGAATAGCATAGTATTAAAACTTCTTTGTATCGAAATAAAAAGTCAACCCCCCTTTGTTTGATGTATCTGGGAAGCGGAATCGTTGGGAAGTATTTCGGAGACGTTAAGTACCAATAGCAGTCGCCCGATCAGAATTTCAGTTTTCCAGCTTTACTGGTTCCTAAGTTAGCAATTTTTCCGCTAAAAATTTCCGCGAGCCCGTACGTGAAAATCACTCGGAGCTGGGTGAAATCTTTAAGTTCTGCGTGGACGGAGAACATCCCTTTAAAATTTTGACCTGGTAAGGCTTGCCTATATATATTTCGGAATCTTTTAAACTGACAGAAATAGTTCAAATTTCTTCTAGCACTGCGTGATTTTTTTTTTTTTTTTTTTTGCAGCCATGGCGATCTTCATCATCGGGATACCAGTCGCTGTCAGATTCATCGTGTAGCAATAACGTTAGTTTGATTTATTTCTACGGATATTTTGTATAACAGTCATCAGCTTGTTTATAAGCAAACTTCAGAAGAGGGGGACTATCGATAGATTTTCAAGTAGGTGACTGCTTTTGGGATGGGTTATTTCCAATTGCCTTGGCGCCTTACAAAAAAGAATGATAAGTAATGACCATTGGAAGGCCGATTCAAAAGTGGACGGT